ACGCTTCATCAGTGTTATTGCAGTTGATTCTGAACTCTATGCACAAATATCAACCACGAATCCATATCGTCAGGCGAAATAAAGGTCCAGCACCTGGATCAAACAGGGTAAGCGATCAATTTCAATCAATAATGTCCGGTTCTGACACCTTCTAACAACTGAAAGTTGTTGTTCCAGATGAATCTCAATGAAGAAGTTCATCGAACATTTGTTTTCACAGGAAACACAATTCATGGCCGTCACAGCATATCAGAATCAGTTGGTCGGTTTTTATTTCTCACAACCCTACTTCAAAAGTGTTATAGAGTAGACATAGATAGCTTTTGGGGTGGGCCACAACCTGCATTCTAGTCAGAATTGTTAAGGGAATTGGAGTGCTGAGAAGTGATTCCATTCTTACACCGAGGAATCAAGTGTTTCATTGGAAAGCACTTGACATTCGGTATCAGTAGACGTACTAGTTGTATGCGGAAGCTAGGGAATTCTGCACTACAGACTCCACAACACAAGTGACGACAGACTCCAAGTACTAGATCTGATAACTAGTGGTTCATAGTGATAGCTGATTTTGATAAATGATAGTTGTAATTAGTGACAACTGATAGAATACAACTGCAACAGGCTAATCATTTCATTGGCAAAAAACATTACATTTTGTGGAGGCCGTCGTTACTTGTGTCGTAAAGTCTGCAGTGGACACGCACCTGGCCGCCTTACACGAAAGATACATAGACAATTTAAACCTTGATTGTCTGGGAACTTAGAGGGTACAGAAATGCAAGGAAGTGCTTCACTCACTGTGCCACTTCCGCTTCTCCATGCCTTTCTATAAGAGGCATCCTCGATTGCGCATTTGAAAACACATTTCCAGATAACATTCATATTCCTCACAAGGCTTACATTTCCAGATAACAAAGCTGAAAATCGAAAAGAACCCGTTTGCGAAAGGATTCCGGGATCCCAGTGGGAGGTCGCCGGAGTACGAACCGTAAGTGCAGTTCTTTAGTGCCTTTGAATCGTAACACTTCTGTTGGATCTTAAAAGAACACAGGGATTTCAGCGATTCACGACCCGATCTACCTCTGATCATGCCCATGTACAATCCGGTCATCTTCCAACAAGCTCTACTGGGTCAATGTGAGTTGTGTAGGGCCCTACTGTTACACTATTGCTCGCGAGGCTAGGCAATAGTAAGGCATTACCCTCTCTTACAGGGGGGTAATGCCCTACTATTGCCCAGCCTTGTAAGAGAATTGAGCTTAACAAAGCTTCATCCGTGCCAACGATTGGTAAGCGTTACCCTGAGAGTCACACATCTTCTTGAGGTGATCGGACTGTTTTTTTTAATTTTGATATGATTCTTTCCGGTCACGTTTGTTGGTTAAAGCCACCATGAGACATGGGGAAGTACTGTAACTCCAGCCTAATCCTCAGAGCGCGTTTTACAGATTACCTCAAAGCGGCGGCCGCCAGGGTAATGCCGTCGTTGAATCCGTCGATGCTGTCACATGTGCTGTTCTCGCAGATGCCGTCCTTACCGAACTCCTCCGATCGGCCGTTGAACGCCATCAATCCGTCACCGGCAAAATCGGAAAGTCTGCCAATCTAGACATCGCCTTTTTACCTTGAAATATCATCAACGTTTTATCAGCTTTTCCATAATCAGACTGACATTCCCGTGTTATCTCGGTGCCACTACGGTGGGTGAACTCCTGGCGAATGATCTATGTTGCCACCTATGTGTGTCCTATTCACCACTCACCGTTCCCAATCACCCCATCGACTGCTGTACACATCGCAAACCGGTCCTTCGTTATATGTCTTGTCGCTTCGGTGCAATGCAATGTGTAAAGTCTACTGTAACCCAGTCCTTATTCTTTGTATCCTTCTCGAACTAATAATATTGCCTTGACGAGGCCGCCGATTTGAAAACTCTCATAAACTCTTCGTTATTGTCTTCTGTACTCATAAACCCAAATAGTTCTGTGAACTTTCAAAAAACCCTGCAACTTTGGTATGTATATACACAATAAAAAATGTGACTGATCCTGAATACATACATATATTCGAGTCCTCGCTCCTGGTAGTCGAACATCGAATTACGGATACCGAGAGAAACATGCGATGCGCTTGATAGAGTCTTACCAAATTCGTTCTCTTCTTCTCCTAAGCGTTATCCAGCGCAGTCGCAGGTCGCGCTGAGTCTTAACCAATTCGTTGTCAATATTCATATTTTGGGAGTTGTTTTCCTCAACGCTGTCCCAACATTTCATGTTGTGTGCCAAAAGATCGATCTTTGTATAGAATCTTGGCACAATCCAGAATATAGGTGTATTGCTGGAGGCTAATAGCCAAAATTGACAATAAACTTTTTATTGGGCCGACGTTTCGGTGCTTTCACCTTCATTCGGAAGTCTGGAAAAATAGCGCAAAGCCATCTGGGGCCGGGTGCAGCAAGCCCCAACGAGGGGATGGGTCCCCAAAGTTCTGTGTCTCCACTCTGTCGATGACGCAACTCTCGTGGTTAAGAATAGGGGAAGAGTCCAGAGATGCAGAGTTTAGGGGACCCATCCCCTCGTTGGGGCTTGCTGCACCCGGCCCCAGGATCTAACCCGTCCAGCAGCTATTTCAATCTGCAAGAATCATAATTCTTGTAGCACGGCGCAGCTTGAGTGGTAGGGAAACAGTTAGGATTTCTAGGTGATGGTCGCCACAGATATGAGCGCTGAATAGAGGCTTTGGCAAACCCCAACCGCTCCGCCTAACTCATTCCAGCATTAAAGCACGGCCGTGGTGGAATTTGAGATAAAGGATAAAGGATAAAGCATTTGCCGTTGATCAATCCCTTTTTGGGATGCGGCACGCATTCTACTTCCATTTGTACATTCGTAGTGGCGTTTGAATGCGATGTGGCCTATACAATGACTTGCGGGGGCCAGCCGATGTACAAGTCAGTGTTTTTATCCTCCCAGACAAGTCTGGTACCAATTAACCGACCCCGGAGGGATGGAAGGCTTGGTTGGCCCGGGCGACTTCGTATGGAAGGCTTTGATTTTTTGCAAGTTACAGACCCTGGCATTGTAATTATCAAAGATCTTCTTACTGAAAACCTTGAAAATCTTTCAGATAGTTGACCATTTTTGTAATGCCAAAAAGGTTTTTTATACTGAATCTTTTTATTGAGCCAACTTTTCGACTAGTTCGTCGTCTTCAAAGTCTATTGTTGATACAGAATATCGAGTAAGCGTTTACGATGTACGATAAAACCAGTGCGAAACATATGCCACTTGAACTGACTTCGCGATACTCTGGTACCACTACGGAACCCCCCCCCCTGTTCAATTGATCCGGCAACCGCGAATTCGGACGCGACGCCTATCGTTAACGGATTGAGACGACGACACGTGCCCATTTGAGTTGAATCATCGAAATTCACGGAGAGATTTCCTACAACACCCGCTAAACAAGTTTCAATGTCTATTCCAATGACGGGGAATGACGGAAAGCTCTTTGGCTGCGATCATAAACCGCGATTGTTTTGTGGAATAGATACATATCAATCACATAACCACAGAATCGCATGGGCATCACGTATCTGGTCCATCCTC